CTTAATAAAAGTTTTCTTTTGTCATACACAGATTTGGTGCTTGTGAGAAGGGAAGTATTGCCTCTTGGCACCACGGGGTGTTTAGTTCTTTCAGATTTCTGGGTGGGGGCTTGAGCTGGATTTGTCTTGTACTGTTAAGAGGAACCCCTAGATATGGAACCTTGTTGCTGCCAATGCCACCTGGCAGAAGGGTTACATGAGTGTAATCACTACCAGACAATCCTGTAATATTGGATCCATCTCGTCACTGAATCTCAGCAATTTATACATACTTTATCCATAGCTGCCTTCCCCACTGATTAATGATAGGTATTTTTCCTGAAGTCAGAAATACTTGCAAAAGCTTTTCTAGCTGCAGAGAGCCCTTTGAAACATATTGGATTTTGTCTCAGATTTACCACTGAGCAAGTAATTCCCTACTTGTGGAATTAAAGAGAGTGAAAGAAAAAGGAGCAGTAGAGATAGAAGAGATTTACAGGTCTCAGGGTTTTCCTCTGCTATATGGTGTAGAGATATCACAAATCTGGGGAGAAAAGTCATGGGAAGGGAACAGAAGCTGAAATGTTCCAACCTTTTGCGTAGTCACAATTTTTCCCTGTACACAAAGCACCACAGAGCAACGAGGGGGAGTGGCCCAGGAGAAAGAGGGAGGAGTAATTAAAATAGTTGCTATGTGGGCTTATTTACATGTAAAAAAAAAAAAAAAGTTTAGTAACTGATCTGAGCACAAACTCCTAATCTGTGCATTGTAAACTCTACTGGAGGGGTCAGAGAACACAGCTATAGGACCTAATGGTAGCCCGGCAACCAAATAATCAGTGCTGCTATTTTAGGAGGATGTGCAGGTGTATTAAGAGAGGACCAAACAGGAAGAGACACTGCACATCTGTAAGGTGTGGGTGAGGGTTTCCCCAAGCCTATTTGTTAAACCCAGCCCCTGCCCTCTAGTGAGCCAGGAGCCCCATGCCGAGTTAGTGATGCTGCATCAGATCAACGTCTCCCCAAACCCTGGGCAAGATTTCAGGCAAGCCTTTCCTTTCCCTGTGTAATTTCCATAGGAGAGGGATCCAGGGCTATAATAACTTGAGCCAGCAAACACATCTTGCATTGAACCAATACCTTTGCCTCATACTGTTGAAGGATTAAAGAAATTTGAAATTCTGTTTTGATTCAGCTAAGGGAAATGAACACGTACAAATGAAATCTGGGTATACAGCAATTAATGTCTATATGGACAAAAAGTTTTGTATCAAATCTTAACCAACTGCATTAGGTGGCATGGCCCACTAGATAGGGCACATGGGACAGGATATCTGGGTTCTAATCCTAGTTCTTTCCCAGACATGTTCTGATCACTGTGCAAGTCATTTTCTCTCTCTGTGCTTCAGTTTCCCCATGATAAAGCAGGAATAATAATAATGCTTATCCATCTTTGTAAAATGTTTTAAGATATAGGGATGAAAAATACTATATAAAATGTTACAGTTCAGGACCAGTGGGTTCCAACATTTAGGTTTCCTTAGTGCCTTCAGTCTACAGAATTTCCATGAGTAGAAAGATTACTTAAAGACAGTGAAGTAAGTTAGAACTTGAAGGCCTGGATCCTGCAGTCCAGTAGAGTTTGACCTGCTCCAATGCAGCAGGATTGGATCCTAAATTAGTATCTGTTCTCTTGGTTTAGCCAACTAGGGTATATGGGGGATGTTACAGCTGAGTTCTCTAAACTGGTGTTGGGGACTTCAGCATGAATGTCACCTTAGCATGTATCTTCATGCAAATAACAATTTGAATTCAATGCACCTATGGTCAGCATCAGTCTGCTTCCTCACAATCTTACTCTCATAAATGATACAGATTTTTGGGATTTCCTTACTAGCAGCAGATATTCTGGTTGCTCCTCTTAATTCTGATCTTTGTCCATCAGGGCATATCTGCGGTGCCATTATTGACAGGCATAATCAAGACCTCACTTCACTGAGCATCCAAACATGTTTTTCTTAGAACGACTACTGTTAGCTTCTTATATATGGGTTTCCTTCCCATCTATTCCCTTTCCTTACCTTTTTTTCTTATTGCAGTACCACCATGTAAACTGGTGTTCAGACTACCAGCTAGGGATAGAAAAATAAAGTCCAAACCATAGGTTTTTTCACACACTTTTATTCAGGGCTTGCTTTATTTCCAGAAAACGCAAACTCAAAATCAGAATAAAACTCAGACTAATGGCTAATAACCCTTTCTACCTTCAGTCAGATGGGAAAGGATGGGGGACATACCTTCCCCTGCTCAGATCAGCCTGATGATATGTTACTGGGTTGTTGTCTACCAGTGCACCTTTATACCTTGTCACTCTCCCAGAGACCCCATTGGACAGTGCCTGGTACTTCCACATACTACAAAATGGTACCTGCCCTGAAAAGCTTACAATCTAAGTAGACAAGACAGAAAAAAGGAGGATATTAGCCTCATTTTACAGATGGGAAACTGAGACAGAGAGAGATTAAGTGACTTGTTCAAAGTCATACATGAAGCCTGTGGCAGAACTAGGAATTGAACTCAGATTTTCTGAGTCACAGTCCAGTTACTAATCCTATTTGCTTTAATTGTTAGCATAATGCCTAAATAATTGTGCCATATTATTTTTAATAAAGGAGAAGCATTTAGGGCAAAACTCCCCCTTCTAATCTCCATTGCAAATTTGTATTTCATATAGACTCAGACTTTAAGGTCAGAAGGGACCATTATGATCTTGTAGTCTGACCTCCTGCACAATGCAGGCCACAGAATCTCACCCACCCACTCCTGTAACAAACTCTTGACCTATGTCTGAGCTATTGAAGTCCTCAACTTGTGGTTTAAAGACTTCAAGGTGCAGAGAATCCTCCAGCAAGTGACCCATGCCCCACGCTGCAGAGGAAGGTGAAAAACCCCCAGGGCCTCTGCCAATCTGCCCAGAGGAAAATTCCTTCCCAACCCCAAATATGGTGATCAGCTAAACCCTGAGCATGTGAGCAAGACTCATCAGCCAGACACCCAGGAAAGAATTCTCTGTAGTAACTCAGATCCCACCCTATCTAGTGTCCTATCACAGGCCATTGGGCATATTTACTGCTAATAGTCAAAGATCAATTAATTGCCAAATTTAGGCTATCCCATTTTACCATCCCTTCCATAAACTTATATATGTTATATTTCTTGCATATACAGAACTCCCACTGATGCTAATGGGAGTTCTGTACACGAGTGAGTGCAGCATTTGCCTTTCTAAGACAGATGTATTTTCTGCAGCCCTTAATTAAGGAAGATTCCCATTAACAATTAGAGTTTCATTTAGTTCAGGACCATGCCATTTAGTCCATATAACTCAGCAGCATTCTATTACTTAAAAGTACAACACACTGACTGAAAGAAGTTCTACAGTAGCTGAATGAGCTTATTAAATGCATGGCCCCTCCCTATCGCCTTTCCATCTTCTCTGCCCACTTCCTTTCCTCCTTCTCTGAAGTTTACTTCTGTTCTTTATCTTATTTTAAAAAAGATCAGTTTGTCCATAAAATAAGGATAAGGCAGAATAAGATTTAAAACTAATTGAATTTTTATAAGCAATTTTTTGTAAACTGTAATACAAATAATTGATATTTATTTTAACTACTCATATTATATATAACCAAATGTTTCAAGTAGAGTTAAGGTTAAGTAGCAAATGGTTAACATTATAAGAAGTTTATGTATAGTTCATTAATATATAGGGAAAAAAAACAAAGATTTAATAAATAGTAAGTAGGAACAAAAGTTCTACAATAGAAATTCTTCCACTGTTTTGCTTGCAGTGCTAAACCGATCAAGCCTACCAATTTAAGGACCTGATCCTTGCAAGTCATTGAAAGGGTCATTCTGCACCTCTTAAGAATGAATCAGCACTGTGAAGGTTTGGAGCCCTTAAAGGATTTCTTTACAAATACATTTGAGGCTCACATAACAAGGCTCACATCCCATGGAAATACTCATTTTAATGAAAAAGCCATTTATTTGTAGCAAAATGTTGCCAATGAAGAGTTTTGACCAGCTGTACTCTATTCCTGAAGCCACAGGAGAAGCAAAGTGTTATTTTAAGACTCTTTGGGCCCAATCCTGCAGTTCTAGTGTAGGCAAAACTCCTGATGAAGTCAATGGAAATTTTTCCCAGGTAAGGACTAGTAGACTGAGTCTGTCATTGGCCTGACCATATCTCACTGCAGTTAGTGGGACTGTTTTATGTGCTCTTGGTAGTCTAGTTTCAGTGTATAGAGAAGAACAGAATAGTTTCTTAACCAACAGTGATACATTAGTAGAATATTTCAGAGTTCGATATGCAGAGCCAAATTCTGCCAGGCTTACACCCCATGCAACCCCTCTGAAGCCCAGGGGGATTGCAGAGGATATAAGTATAGCAGAGTTAGACTAATAGAATCAGTGGCAGCTCCAGGCACCAGCGCTCCAAGCGCGTGCCTGGGGCGGCAAGCCGTGGAGGGCGCCCTGCCGGTCCCTGCGAGGGCGGCAGTCAGGCAGCCTTCGGTGGCTTGCCTGCGGGAGGTCCCCCGGTCCCGCGGATTCGGTGGCATTTCAGCGGCGGATACGCCGAAGCTGCGGGACCGGGGGACCTCCCACAGGCATGCCGCCGAAGGCTGCCTGACTGCCGTGCTTGGGGCGGCAAAAAAGCTAGAGCCGCCCCTGACTAGAATTACAAGGGGCAAGTCATTTGAGATTTCTGATACAGAGTACAATCTATTGAATGAGAAGGTATGTATCTATACCACAGACAATTCTAATCATGTGACCCAACATACATTGATTCAAGTCCAAAACCCACAAATCTAGCAGCTAAGTTTTTGCAATTTTCTTAATACATAAAAGCAACCCTCCTTTGCCTTCAGCAAGGATTTTACTTGAACAAAACTGTTTTAAAGTGTGCATGAAAAAGTACCATTCTTAAATATATTTGTGTTGACTTTGTTTTCCAGAATAGGCTATCAGATTCCAATGTTTGCTGGCTTCTGCATCATGTTTGTGTCAACAATTAGTAAGTGTCTGTTTTTTGCATACTTCGATGCAGATGCTGCATTATTTATAAATGATCCAACAGACCTGACTCTCTCAGAAGACTCCATGTTTATATCGGGGGGGAGAAACCTTATTTTCAAAGTAAAATACTGGGATGCCTGTTACAGGAAGAAGTTGGTGCTGAGATTTGAATGCTTGTCTGGAGTGATTTTGGTGGGCATCAAGTAGGTGTACATGGGATGGTAGAGGAAAAGGATGCCTATTCCTTCTCTTGATCTGAGAAACTCAACTGACTTGTTTTCTGCCACCCTGTGAATTAGACTATGGCTCACACTAGCACAAATCATCAGTAATTCTATCAAACTCAGTGAAAACTGGTGAAAGAATAGAATAAAGCCATATGTGCATGTGCATGTACAAGGATTCGCCGGGGCTCAACCCTCTCTGGGGCGGCGGGGAGCCACACCGGCTCACTACACACAGTTGACATTGGGGAATTAGTCTGGCCACGGGGTCTCCCTCGGCAGCCCTTGCTGTAACAGGAACAAATACTGTAAGCCCAGGCCCTGGGTCAGGGCGGGGCAACACTGGGTCAGGTGCTCAGGCCAGAGCTGAGCACTGGCACTATAAACAGTAGCAATAAGCCCAGGCCCTAGGTCAGGGCAGGGCATCAAGGAGTCAAAGGCTCAGGCCCTGAGGCAGGGCTGAGCAATAACAATAGGCCCAAGCCTCCTCAGGCCTGGGAGAGGAGGAGACTGCCACCCACGAGTTGGGTGGCAGGGGGGACGCAGGCCCTCCCTCTCCACTACGTCCCAGCCCGGGGCCCTAGCAGCGGCAGAAGACCCGCTGCTGGGTCAGTGGGGATCCTGGCCGCAACACACTGACATGGGCTCTGGCAGTGCTGCAGCCACACTAGGGTTGGCTGCCCCCAGGCTACTTCCAGACTCCCCCTCGGGTAGTACCTGGGTCAGGGTGTTGTCCTCTGGGGGGTCCAGCACCATAGGTTCCTCTGGGTAGTGGGCAGGCGGCAGGCCTGGCAACTCCTCCGGGTAGTGAGCGCAGGGCAGGCCCGGCCAGTCCTGGCGGCCGCCTTGGGCCGCGGAGTTTTCCCAGTCACGAGCTAGGCTGGAGGTGTCTGTCTGGCCTCTCCGGCGGCTCAGGCCTTACTGAGCTCTGAGGTCAAGCCTTTATACTTCTGGGTCGCCGCCTGACCCTCTGAGGGGCGGGATCTGAGCTCCCTAGCTCCGCCCACTCCGGCCTCCAGATGGGCTCTTCCCACTCTGGGGCAGCGGGGAGCCACACCACCTCACTACAGTGCACATGAGGGCTGGTTCAAGGGCTCGTGCAAGGTCGGGGGAGGAGGTACTTGAGACTCATGTGTGTTCAGCCAGCAAGTTGTCAGCTTCACCAGCTCAGCTGGTTGGGTACTCCTTCAAGTGGCCAACTTGCAGATTTTGTAAAACTGACAGTGACACAGGAACAGGCCCTGAAAGAGTACATGCCTTGTTTTCAGGGACAAGTGTTCACCCTACACCGGGGTGGGCAAACGTTTTGGCCCGAGGGCCACATTGGGGTTGCAAAACTGTATGGAGGGCCGGGTAGGGAAGGATGTGCCTTCCCCAAACAGCCTTGCCCCCGCCACATATCCGACCCCCCCCCAGAACCTCCGCCCCATCCAACCGCCCCCTGCTCCCTGTCCCCTGACTGCCCCCAGGACCCCCAGCCCCTTATCCAAAGCCCCAGCCCCCTTACCATGCCGCTCAGAGCAGCAGGTCTGGGAGCCGTGCTGCCCGGCTGGAGCCAGACATGCTGCCGCACTGCCTTGCAGGAGCATGCAGCCCCACCGCCCAGAGTGCTGCCCACGTGGCGGCGTGGCTGCGGAGAAGGGGAGTCGCGGGGGAGGGGCCGGGGGCTGGCTAGCCTCCCCATCCGGGAGCTCAAGGGCTGGGCAGGATGGTCCCGCAGGCCAGATGTGGCCCATGGGCCGTATTTTGCCTACCTCTGCCCTACACTAATGTCAGTGGGGAGTCTTTCCAGAGTAGAGTGTAGGATCCGGTGCAATACCCAAGACTCAGAGGCTAGATAGTGCCTTTAAGTACAGCCTTATGCAAGGGGCAGTGCACAGATGCAGTCCTCCAGGGGCAGCACTGGGAGGCACTGTGCCTCACAGACACCGTTTCTCTGGTGCTCCCCTATTAGGAGGAGCTGTAAGTTGCTAGAGTCCTTACAGGGGTACCACACAGTCCTCTGCATGCCCAGCCAACTATGTGAGGCAGAACATAATGGGGAGCAGAGTAGAGCCATTGCTAAGCCTCCCTTTACCCACTTACTTGTGGGAAGGAGCATCTGGGGTGCAGCCCCTGCTCTCCCCAATGCCTGGAGCTCCAAATTGGACCATGCTAATGCAGCAGTGCAGGGAGATGGAGTGAAGGCAGGGGCAGTTGCATTAGACCAGTGCATATTCTAACCCTTACTCATTAGTAAAGATAGCTTGTATACATTTTTTTTTCTGTGTTACCAGGAGGCTTAGATGTGGAGAAACGATTCAACACTGACAAATCTAAATGTAATAAGAGAAAATAACATAGTTAGCATTGAAAGTGACAACAGTGACAGAAAACACTTGGCTGAATGGTGTTTTCATGATTGTTAAAATATCTTTAACGTTTTAACCTTGTTAGATTTAACCTGATTTTAAAAATCTACCTCGGCCTTTTCTGCAGTGTTTGCCTTCTCGGGAAGCTATACATTGCTGTTCATAGCAAGATCTCTTCAAGGAGTGGGTTCCTCATGTTCTTCTGTGGCTGGTAAGAATGAAAGTGTATATGATAGATTCAATTAACTGTATTTTAGCTTGTCATTCTAGTGACAGTCATTTCCTTAATTGTGTATTTTGTCTGGCAGTTTCAATAATTAATGTTGAATTCAATTACATTCATTTTACTTTGTATGCAAGAGGCTGGCTGAAAGTATCTCAGAGAAATGTCACTTCTAAATTATTTGGTATTTGGGTCACGTTACTGTAGAAGACTAAAGATCTATGCTTTTTCGGGTACTTGTGTACAAGTGTCTTTCGATTTTTTAATTCTTTTAATCAATGTAAAAGATCAGCAAGAATAGATGTCTGCACTGAAGGCTGGTAACTTGTCACTTCCCATTATAAGACCTTGTTTTCAGTTGCTTAAAACTTTGCCAAACCTTAACTGTTTGGGCTGAGATTTCTATGCTGGGAGTCTGCCTCAGGTGGAATTGTTTTTAATTTTATTTTTTTTTGGAAAATTTTGCATCAAAATAGTTCGCAGAATGAGGGTCTGAATAAGAATGAGGCTAGGGAAAAACACATTGTTTTTTGACCATTTAAAAAAAAATCATGTCGTCAACTTTTTTTTTATTTTTTATTTTGGTTACAAAAAGCCTCCATGCTTTGGAACAGGGACTTGAAATTTAGCAATGAGTGGCCTTCGTGTCAGGGATGTGCCTTTTGCCATCTTCGAGAAAACCCACCCAAATTTAGCCAATTTAAATCTTTGCAAAATTGCAGCACGCACATGCTTAGCAAAGACTTGTTAAGAGGTTGGCAGCTAAATTCCATGAAGACTCCATCTGCACTGGGCATGCTCCAGCCCAGGGCTGAGCAGGACTTTCCTGCAGCTCTGGGCTGCTTGGGTGTTCAGGTCCAAAGTCTGGGCATCTGAATCAATGGCAGGGAAAACCATCTTTTCTATACATTCAGTGATGCCAGGAACATCAATGAGATGAGGAGTCCAGTGGGAGGGGCACTAGGACTGGGATGAGAAGCCTGAGAAGGGGCTGTCTATGTGAGGAGAATGGGACTGTGATGAAGAGCAAGGGATAGAAAAGAGACAGGACTTGGAGAGGGATAGGTTGGAGGGGACAGGACAGAAAGGGTCATGGTTGGGGAGGAATGAGAAGAATAGTCTATGCCAGGGGTCCCCAACACGGTGCCCGCGGGTGCCATGGTGCCCGCCGGGGCATCTAAGTGCGCCCGCGTACTGAGCAGCCGCCAAAATGCCGCCGACAAGATGCTGCCGATTTCGGCGGCATTTCGGCGGCGACGCCTCTGGATGTCGCTGCTTGTCAGCGGCATTTCGGCGGTGACGCCTATTGACATTGCCACTTGTCGGCGGCATTTTGGTGCATGCTCGTCCGCTGCCACAGTCCTCCGTGGCTCGTCATCTGGCGCCCGCCAGACGAAAAATGTTGGGGACCACTGGTCTATGCCAACTACAGTATACTCCCTCTCCAGAGCCTGGAACAGAATCGACAATTCCCAGTCTCCCCATTCCTCTGCTGTCAGCAAATATCTGTGAAATCCAGTGGCAAAGTGTCCCATCTGCCTTTAGTGTTGGTCCACATAGAAGATGACAACCTGCTACTGCTATCAGTTAGCTCAAGTGGCAGAAGTCTGTACAGTGGCTCTAAAGATTCCAACCTTGCTGGTGACCCCTTTGCTTGTCAGTATGCCGCCACATGACTCATGAGGGAATTTGTTTTTTTTTCAGTTTTCTTTTATAAAGGAAATTAGAGAAAAAGAACAATATGATTGCAAAGTCACACTCAAAAATTAGGAAATGACAGAATTAAGATTGCTTGTATGTAAATGCTTTATGATATAGTCTTTGTTACATGATTGCATACTATTTTTTCCACAGAAACCCTACCACATTCAGTGCACAGGACTGACCTGCTCTGATCCCAACCTCACTTGTTGCAGAAGTTGGAAAATGTAGTGAATGAGACAGGGGATTTCAGGCAGACAAAGAATAGACTCATGGTTAAAGTAGTAGAATGCTGCCCTAGAGAACTGAATTCTATCCCAGCTTTTGCCACGCAGTTCCTATGTGCTGCTAGTCAAGTCACTTAAACCAGATTTTTCACAAGTGGTACCAATTGTGTGTTCCTCATTTTCTGAGCACCCGACTTGAGACTCTGGGGTCTGATCTACAGTACTGCTGAACACTGGCAGCTGCAACAGAATACAGTGGGAGCTGTGCATTGAACATATAAACTGCTGTATAGTGCTAAGTACTCTGTAAAAGTCAGGTCCTAGGCATTTCAATTTGGGCACCCAAAATTAGCAGATACTATTGACCACAGAACAGAGATCAGTATCCCCTCATTTTACAGGGGTGTTCTGAAACTAAATGCATTAACGTTTGTGAAGCACTTATTGTATAATGATGAGCACCCTTGAAAAGTCCATGAAGGAATTAGTAATTCTGTCTTCAGCCAGGGTTTGAATTGTGTACAGTAAATAAGGCCTAGGACCACACATTGAACAAGGAGTAAACAACATATTGACTAGCTGCTCATTCAGTGAGCAGTCTCCATTCGGTGCACTACATGGAAAAAAGTAGTGTGTGATCATGTAATTAGTGACTGTATCATAATGAATACATAGAAGGGGTCCAAAGTAAGGTTGCACAGGCAGCCTTTGTTCTGGCATTTCCCATGATTGCTTGATTTTGCAACCTAATAATGTTCTTTTAATATAGTTTTTGTGTGTGTGATGGCATATATAATGAGGCATAACCTTATAAGCCATCTATGCTTGCAGGACTTCCTTTGATTTCAGTGGGAGTTACATGTGGAGGCATGCATGTATATATATGTGTGTATATGTGTGTGTGTGTGTGTGTGTGTGTATATATATATATATACACACACACACACAAACACAGAGTAAATGTCTAATATCACATCTTCTAATATTCAATAAACTGGTGTATGATGAAAATAAGTTATATTATAGAATTGACTTTTTTTTTTTTTTAATTTTAGGGATGGGTATGCTGGCCAGTGTTTATACAAATGATGAAGAGAGAGGCAATGCAATGGGAATTGCATTAGGAGGACTGGCTATGGGAGTATTAGGTCAGTGAGATGAAATATTAATAGGAACAAAAAAAACCAAAAACCAACCAATCCCCTGCCCCAAATCCAAAAATCCCACAATGCATATCTGTATTGTATGGATGCTATAGGAGATTCCACTTGGTATCTCCCATCTATGAAATAGGATTTTGTCATCCTATCTCCAGATTATATTAATGGTGCACACTAAAAATAGTTTTAAAAAGTTAAAATAAATTTAATATGCAGATTCATTTTACTAAAGGAAGACAAATCTTCTGACTTTCAAAGTCTGTCACCAATCATCTTCTCTGATTCAGAATGCCTCTCCTTAACTGTGTGCTGGAGAACAGTGATTAACATCCAGAGATATCATTGTTCATTCTCAGTTACGTAAGTGGCTTTTAAGCGGTGCAGCTGCAGTTTGTTTGGAAAAGCCTTTGAAGTTAGAAATACAAACACTATGGGCTATGTTCTCATCCACATAAATCTATTTTTAAATCCAAGAGTTGAACATAGATCTGCCAAAGGTTTGGGCCCATCCTGTTCCAATTTAAGTCAGTGGCAAAAAATCTTCCTGACTGCAGCATTAACAGGCTCTAAGATCAGTATTTCTACTATACTCATCCTCATGAGCACCTTTCAGACCCTTTGTCAGGTTTCTAGCATTCTTACTTCCATAGGGACAAAATCCTGCTTGCCTTATTCACACAGATAGTACTAGGGAAATCAGTGGACCTGATTGTGTGAGTAAAGCAAGTGGGATGTGGTCCATGCTTGACATTTCTTGTTTAGGCAATGTTTGTAGACTGCAGACAACAATCCCTGGAAAATTATCTAATCTAATCTATTCTATCTAAATATGTTCCTCATACTGAGTTACAGTGCTTTGGTTATTTTAACTAATGACCATTAAGATGGATGGGAATTTTGGCATTGAATTTCAGTGTTAAGAGAACTGCTCCCCCAATGTGCTGAAATCTTAAAAGAAAAAGGACCATGAATGTTTTCCTTGTTTTTCTTTCCTAGTGGGTCCACCTTTTGGGAGTGTGATGTATGAGTTTGTGGGAAAGACAGCACCTTTCCTTGTGTTGGCAGCATTAGCTCTGTTAGATGGAGGTCAGTAAATACTAACATTCATAATTCTGTTTAATTCATTCATTGATTTTACTATGTAGTATAGCCACCATCTTAAACAACAGCTACAGCATTGATTTCTTTTTGCAGCTGTTCAGTTATTTATTCTACAACCATCCAGAGCACAACCAGAAGTAAGTACCACCATAAAAAAACCACTTTATATAATGGGTGATGTTTTGCCCTTCCTAACCCTGAGGTTTTGTTATTTGTCTGACAGACTCAAAAAGGGACACCATTATTGACCCTCTTGAGAGATCCATATATCATTATTGCCGCAGGTACAGTTTAATTCTTATATAATTTAATTCTGACTGTGCTTTTTTGCTGTACCTTGAATCCCAGACTGCCTTACTCTGGCCCTGGTTACGAATAACTTTCTACCAATGCATCACAATTATTTGCAATGTTAATTTAAAACAAGGTTCCATGAACAAAATAATTCATAGACATTCAGATGGGCTCAAGATGCAAGTCTTGGATTCACATCAGACTTTGAACTTCCCAAAGAGCAGAGATTATGATTCACATCCGTCTCTGCATAGGTCTATGTAAAGCATGCATTGTTCACCTGAGAAACTTTCAGGAAATAATACTTATATCAGTTAGACTTATGTCAATACCCACTTCTGGTCAGCTAAACACATACGTAACTCTTTTTCAAAACCTATTATTTACTAGGATAAATGCTTTGCAATAAGGAAAACTCTAATGGAATTGCAACAGACTGGTAGATTGGAAACACTCCAACCTGTTAACAGGTGTTGGTTTTGTTGGGAAGAGATTAGTGAGTTCTGCTGACTCACTCAGGGTATGTCTACATTGCAGCCAGGGATATGAATGGCAGCTTGTGTAGCTGTACCTGCGTGAGCTGTACTCTAGCTAGCTCACGAAAAAATAGAAGTGAGGATGCCACATGCGGGCTTCTGTACTAGCTCCATAAGCAAGTACATACCCAGGGGATGTCTGGGTACGTCTACATGAGATGCTATTCACAATCTCATACACAATGTAGGTGAACCTTGAGTCAAGAGACAATTGTGCTACCTTGATATATGGGAAGTGTGGCTGTCTGGGGAGAAAGAAGATCCAGCATGTGGCTGAGCCGTTATGAGGGAAGATTTATCAGAGCATCCAAGCCTGGGGGAAAGGATTAAGCTGAACTTTGTTTTCATTAGAAAGGGTGTGAGTTTGGATTGTACCTAGGGAATGAACTATGTTTATAGGATTTTGGGAAATGCACCTGCTCGCAGGTAGCTCAGGGTCTAATGGTAAGTGTCATTTGCTATTACAGGCATTATTCATTTGATTAATCTTTCTCACAGGAAGCGCAATCCTGGCTGATGTAGCTATGTAGGCCACACCTTAGGCTCAAATAAGTTTGAATTTTCCATCCTCTCTCTCAGGGTGCTATCCTAAGGGATTGGGTGGGGATGCCACTGTTCATTGTGAGCCTACTGGGAACTGTCAGGTTGCAATGTACAGGAAATTTATGGAGTATGACAGACTTGTAATCCAGAATTAGCTACCAGGGCAAACCTTTCACTGCAGCTCCAGTGGGAAGCCTTGCTAAACACAAGTAAAAGTCATGAGCATTTTAGGAGTTATAAATGGATTGACACTTTAAAATGTCTTCTGCATTCTCATTTTGGAGGTATTAGTTTCATAGTTATAAGTTCAGACTCCAGGGCCTCCGCGTGTAGGTCAAATTCTTGATTCATAATTGTCTACTTTATAATCAAAGGTATATGTATTTCTCTAACTAGTTTGGCTTATCTGTAGCAAGAAGCTCTATGAAAAGATCTCTTGATATTTCTAAGAGGTGCTTCTTGTGACCTGGTTTACATCCAACAGAGCTTAAGCTCAAACATGGAAAGCTTCTCCTTGGTCCCGTTGCTGTAACTTATTCCTTTATATATTGTATATTCAGTTATCACTCCTTGTTGCTGGTGGGTTCAGTGCTTCCATTCCAATGAATGTCACAGCAAATAGGATGCCAATACAATCATTGCAGCACTGGTACAATATGGTCCTTATGGCCAGCTCTGCTAAGCAACTGGGCTGTAGCATTTGAATGATTGTCAAGTCCCATGTAGAATGCATGAAAACAGTCCAATCTGGAGATCATAAAGGCACGGATAACTGTGGTAGGGCCCACAGAGCGAAATGGTCACAATTTTATGCCAAATAAAAATGATAAAAGGCACTTCTGGGTCCCTGATTGCTTCTGAAGCCCCAGGTGGCTTAGGTAGCCGGAAGTACCTCTGGAGTGCACACCTCATTAATGTGAGTTGGGTAGATCCTCTCAATCATGAGGACAGACTCTATTTAGATGCTTTCTTCAGCTTACATGTCCGTCTTGTCTGGATTAAGCCTCAGTGAGCTCATTCTATTTTGAATCCCTATTTTGGTCAGCAAACCAGGAAAGCATGAACAGTCTATACCATTGGGGTTTAAAGAAAGACATAGGATTGTGTGTCATCCAAATACTGGTGAGATTGCATGTCGAACTGCCTCAATATTTCCTCCAGTAGCTTTCATACATGGACAGTATATAGCACATTCAGGGATGACAAATTGGAGTCATATCATGAGAAAGCCCTGAAGAAGGAAGAGGTAGGTAGAGGGGTGCGTGTGTGTGTGTGTGTGTGTGTGTGTGTGTGAAAGCAAATAGATACCACCTGGTCAATTATATCAATGGCTACTGACAGATGTTAAAGAAACATCCATGGATGTCTGAGTTTGTCATTGCTTGGAAGAGATCAGCCAACTTGGGAAGTGCAATCCTTATATCGTATCCAGATCTAAAACCTGATTGAAAGGGATCAAAGAAAACTGAGCACTCCAGGTGGATGAAGTTGCCTTGACAAAGTCAAGTTGCCTTAAATAACCTGGTCCAAAACCAGAATAAGTGAAATACCATTATAGCAAAATTTTAACATCAAGATGTGGTTCCTTGAGCAGGGGTCTGACAATTTTCCATTTGAGGAAAGTATCTTTTAGGAGGGCATTAATGGTCTCCACCAATAATGCACCCAATGCCTCCCTACTTGATTTTGTCAGCCATGAGGAGCCAGAGTCCAACTGAATGGTAGCAGTTTGAAGTTCTCCCATCACCTACAGGAACTTTGCAAGGCCAACAGGAAATAATCCAGGAAGAATGTGGCATATGTCCAAATATGAATCTCACTTCACCTCATGAAAGAGATCAGTTCACTACTCCAGAGAGATACTGATGACAAAAGTTTATTATCTGCCTCCTAAAGAGGGACCAGTAAGTTGGCATATAAGTCTTTACTAGCCCTTGCAGAATATCAGCTCAGATCCTATTGTTGTGTTGGAATATGTCCTACCTGCGTAATAAAGATATGAAGTACCATGGTCATAAAGTAATTACAAGGTTGTTACAAGTTCTGGGTTATGGCAAACCGTAGAGCAGCGGTTCTCAAACTGTTTTAATGGGGTAGCCAGGACTGGCTTAGATTTGCTGGGGCCTGCGGCCAAAGTCCGAGCCCCACCGCCTGGGGCCCAAGCCCAAGGGCTTCAGTCCTGGGTGGCATGGCTCAGGTTACAGGCTCCTTGACTGGGGCTGAAGCACTTGGGCTTCAGCTTTGAGCTCCCTGCCCAGGGCGGTGGGGTCAGGCTCTGGGTTTGGCCCCCCCTACCCAGGGTGGCAGGAGTTGGGTGGGCTGAGGCTTTGGACCCCCCTCCTGGCACTGTGTAGCAATTTTTGTTGTTGGAAGGGGGTCATGGTGCCATGAAGTTTGAGAACCCCTCTCCTAGAGACATTTTCTGTCATGTATTGTTAGGGAAATGGGCTCAACTCCTTTATACACATCCGTGTTTTCGAACTCTATTTTTGGGTAAGTTTATTAAGACCTGAATAAGAATTTTGTTACTTGATCTCTTCTTTGATTCTAAGATAGAATAGAATTCATTCCTCCAGCTGTATTTTGTATGAGATGAAGTGGTTTTCCAGCATCAAGGTGTTCTTTCAGGCTCAGTTGACTTCTGGTTTTGGACAGGGCATCCTTGTGTATTTAACTGGAACTGCTCAAAGACATTTGAAGGTTGCAGGAGCACAAAATATAGCAGAAAGTTTACTTTAGCCACTGTTGCTTGCCCCAGGAATGTATGGGTAATGAGTCTACAAGTTTGTCTTAGGGGTCTTAGATGTGCAGTCTAATACATCTTGGCATTTTTGAACAAAGAATGACAGTGGTGCTCATTTTGTGCTGAACTGTGTGATGAGAGGTTTCTTCCAGGAGAAATAATTTCTCTATGACCTCAGACAAATTAGACTTGAGTTTTTAAAGGTAAAAATTGACTGGTAAACTACCGTAGGGACACTTGAATGTCTCTGAATACCAGTCCAAGACTGTAAGTATTAGAAAGAAAGACTTGAGGATTACATATCTAAGGGTACTGGTTACAACAATGGCTTTAACACTTTGTGGAAGCTCACTTTGTGGTGTATCAGCAGATAAGCATATATCTCTCTCACTATCCTGCTCTTACCCCTCACTCCCCAGCTTGTGCAGGTTTTCTTGAGCAAATGGGGTAGGCTCCTCTTGTCAGGGAATCAGAAAAAAATACCTTGTGACTTCAACCATGTAACAAAATACACTAGTAAAAATTTGGTGAAGATGCAGATAAGTGTGACTGGGAAATCTGGAAAGAAACTATGAGTCATTCTGGCTCCTTGAATTCAACAGGTAAATTTACAGCATGTTAAATTTCATAAAACATTCCACTTGGCTCTAGCTGAGGCATATTGTAACACAGTGTGGGGATGTTTGAAATACCACCACCTGCACTAGATCTCCTTTGAGCATAGACAATTTACATCTCCAAGGCTGTAAGTCCAGCCCTTATACAAAATAGTAGAGGGTTCCACAGTAATGGTCAAAAACACTGTAGCTTGAACAGTGCTATGACAGCACTTTATAATATTACTGTAGAATACTTTTGATAAGGGTGCATCTTTTGCCAGCGCTAAACTGAATGCAGCCAGTTCATTCACAGCTACACTTCAAAATATTTGAGACCACAGGGAGTGCCACTTTTATAAGAGGCCAAGTTCTGGTCTTCTCTTACTATCAATCAAGCGTGTCACTAGTCTTTCATAGAATCACAGACCTCGAAGGAACCTTGAGAGGTCATCTAGTCTAGTCCCCTGCACTCATGGCAGGACTAAGTATTATCTACATGCACACCCATGTTGGCTTTGCAGAGAGACCTGACCCATCCTTGGAATGTTTGGGTTGGAGAGGAAATATCCTTGCATCTGGTTGGGATACATTGAGCCTCTCGAGGTGTGGATAACCCATAATAATGAGCACCCTGCTTCCTATAGAAGCCATCAATGGATCTTGGACCTTTTCCTTCGCTGTGCTGCATCTACAAAGTTAACTGCAGCCCCTGCTGAGCTGCTGTAGTGGGAGAGTGGGGCCAAGATGGGCCCAAGTTTTACAAAGTAATAATAAATAAAAACATCTCTCTTTTTTGGAAGTGAGTAGGATGCTCATGAAGAAAGGGGAGATTAACTTTCTATCCTCCCCAATATCCTGGTGGGAGTAGAGGGCATTCCCCAGGATCACAGCTCCTTTTTGCTTTAAGGGATACACAGCTCCTTTAAGCTTCTCTGTGGCTGACAGAATTATGGGGACCTCCCACTGAGCCAGGAAGGACACAGTGCCGCCTCTTAATCATCCTCAGATACCTCGGGAATGGGGTCAGAGGCCATGCCTTGTACACAATAGGGCTAGGATTAAGCCCCAAGAGAACAGATGTAAAGAACAAAAGATTATAGTTATAACTTATCATTTGTACAACAGTCAGCCCTACTGCACTTTCTAAATGTCACCAAGCTCACTGAAATCTTTGTCTCCCCCAACCCCATTATGAAAATAGCTTAACCTTTATTGTACAATTCCTTAGAGAACTGAAATAAATAAGAAGTTGGAGACTTAAGTGATTCCCCCGCCCCATTTAAAGTTAATCAATATTTGGTGTACGACAAACAGGGCTACAAAGAGCACATTGTTTCTATAAACACTGCCCTTCTCTGTTCAGCTTTTGGTGTTAACATTCAAGTGATATAATCCCTGCCTTTCCTTCCCCCAACCCCTCCTCTCTTTAAGGATCAATCTGCTTTGCAAACATGGCTATTGCTATGCTGGAACCAGCATTGCCTATCTGGATGATGGAGACCATGTGTTCAAGAAAATGGCAACTTGGTAAAGTACAGTGCAATATATTTTACTTGAGTCTAGTATATTGTAGCATGAGGCTGTTCCAATTGTGGTTTTGTTAGCAGTGGTCAGGGCCGTAGCAACAAAGAACGTGGCCCCCTCCGAACGGTGGCCCCCTCCGAACATATGTCTGGGCGGGGCCCCTTACAATGCAGAAACTGGAATGCGGTATTTATTTTGCCACTTTTAGGGGCCCCCTTCCTTGCGGGGCCCCCTCCGGTCGGAGGGTTCGGAGGGCGCTCACTACGCCTCTGGCAGTGGTCTCCTTGGGTGCTTTGATGATAGATGGCAAGATGATCATTTTTTTTTTCATCTTTTCATCAACATCATACTCAATTGTGTGATAATGTACACATTTAGAGGTTGTTTGTGAGATATACACACAGCAGAATTCAGTTTTTATTCTTTTATAATTTCAATGGATAATAGATTTTTTTATTGAAGCATTTTTTATTTGTATCCATTTAAACTGTGGGAAATTATGGAGGGTCAGAATTATTTAATGAGAGTAGACATTGAGAATCAAAAAGTTAGTTATAACTGTTAAAACACAATCTGTCAACATATGTTGAAGTTTCAGCTTTAAATCAAACAGCATTTTTCTTACTTTGCCTATCAGTACATTTCAATGATCATCGACAGAAATATTTTTTCATCAATTTGTGTGTATATGGTGAAATCAATGTTTATTGACACTTACCGATAAAAACTTAATCCTTCCAAGTCTATATATCGGCATGATTGAACAGAGTGCCAGCTATCATGATTTTAGTATGAGTGTTTCAATATTTGATGTTTGACTTGACGCCCCAGCTCCTGGAGACCAGTGAGTATACAAAAATCTCAATTTCATTTAAAAAATAAAGTTTCTGGATCTTGTGGAAAAGTATGAAAAGTATGAAAATGTGACCTGAGTGCACCATAAATGCTCAAAACCCAGAAGACAAATAAAAAGAACCCAAGATTATTTTTTATTAAAGTCTCATGATTTAAGCCAAGATGATGGTTTGGGGGGCACTTGATTCATAGTTTTGAATGGTTGGAACTGGCAGTACTACATATGTATCTGCGCTGTATGTACCGGTAGTACACACACGTATGTACACCTCCCAGAACTGTCAGTTTACAGCAGTAATGCTGAGGGAGCTCTAGGCCCTTGTCAAAATTTTGCAACCAAATTGAAGGGAGGATTGGGAGGATCTCCCTGAGTCTGAAGGATTTCATCCTCTTCTATTACTATTAAATCATCTCTGTCAAAGGGCTTCTCCATAGAGCTCCTAATACTTCTTAAGAGCAAGGGCAAAATCCTGGCCCTACTGAGTCAATGGGAATTGTGTAATTGAGATCAGTGGGGCCAGGATTTCACTCCAAGTTCTTTGCCTTTGGAATGAACAAGACTGCACCAAAAAGCAAAGTATTCAGTAGTGAGGACTCTGCCAAGATACCAATCACAGCACTCCTTCGTACTCCTCAATGTTTAGGGCACATTATGAGCATTTATGGCAATATCTTGTTTTATTTTTAATACCTTTGCATTTTCTTTATCCCAGCTCATCCCCTTGTGTTATTTATCATGTTTATTACACTAATGCTTACATAGAAACTGAGAGTGGGGTGGGTCCCATTATAACTAGTACTGTACAGACATAGATTAAGAGATAGTCTTGGCTCAAAGTGTAAGTAGACAAGACAGACAAATGGATAGAGCATACAAGCAGAGCGAACAATATGATGGTAGCAAACGTATTCATTACAGAATTGTTTTTTCTTTTCTTTTCTTTTAAGTTTTTTTATTTAAATAATTTCAGTGGAGTTATTTTAGGAGGGGATTAGCTATATGGATTGATTTGCCTATTCATTTATCTGGGCTAGTTTGCTTTCTGGGGTGCATGCTGTGTCTGACGGAGTTGTTTGCATGTCTGAGAAGGGTGAAATGATGAATCAGATTCCCTTTTCACATCACTGAAAGTCAGGAGTTGTTTCATGATCTATTCAGGGAGAGGGAAGAGAATGTGTGCAGGGGATATTGTAGAACGATGTGCGAGCATGTGCATGTAGCTGGAGGTGGAAACTGGCTAGTACAATCAGATTATTTTGTGATGCTCCAGAGTGGGGTAAAGCAGTCAGAGTTTACAGCTTAATCTGGCCTATAAAGTTAACATTTTAAGAGGTTGAAAGTACGTATTTTCACATTATTTGCGTTATCACATGGTAACATTCTTTGTGTTTCTTCTCTAGTATTAATATGTGACATTTTAATTAAAAAGGTAATTTTCTAGTCAAACTTTGTTAAACTGTAGTTAACATTGAGCACATTGCAGTAGCTGAAGGATAACATTAAAGGGATGTTATAATTCTCCCAAATACTATTATCTACAAACAATATTATTCACTCATAATTGTATTATTGTAGGTCATCACCACAGATGACATGCAAACTTTAGTTCTAAAAAAAGCACCCTCAGGAAGCCAGAATGGAATTAGGCATCAATAATTAAAAGATTGCCAAACCATCAACCATGATAAAGAGTGCTATATTGTAATGTGAGAGCATTAATGTATAAGACTGGAGATTTTTAAAGCCTCCCTTACAGAAGAAAACATAATCCATCTAGTGGAAAGCTGCTTGTTTATCTGCCTCCCTCAACCAGAACATATTATTGATGTCAAAGAAATGAGGTTTGAGAACTTCCTGTTTGAATAAAGATTGTTTGGAGGAGACTATCCATTTTAATTAATACTAGTTTTATCCCCTAATGATAAAAGCAGTTGATTCCATCATGTTTTGTCTGATTTGATGGCATTAGCAGTTGAAAGTGTTTAAAATCTATCTTGAACTGGAGGCTTTGAAAATGATGAGTTTTATATGATTTAGAGTCTAGTTGTTTGAAGTATGATCTTGCAGTTCCTTCAGAAATCCTGATTTGGATCAGTTGGTTTTATACTCCATAAAACTTAGAAAAGGGAAAACTGGAGATTCAGTATTTCACAGCTTACCCATTGCCTTACATAGCTAACTGCAAGTCTTAGCTAAGTTCAGTAAATTTTTTGTAATTTTCCAGTTCTCCTATAGTAGGTAGAATGATGTATAAATTCAGCTCACAACAGGACTAGGGTAATGGCATCCATTTATTATATGCAAAAATGGCATGTTTTTCATTGTAAGCTGTGTATGTGTGTGTAGGGGGGTTAGTCATTAGGTGCTGCTGCTAAAAAGTCTCCCTACATTTTGACAGGTTTCAGAGTAGCAGCCGTGTTAGTCTGTATCCGCAAAAAGAACAGGAGTACTTGTGGCACCTTAGAGACTAACAAATTTATTTGAGCATAAGCTTTCGTGCATCCGAAGAAGTGGGCTGTAGCCCACGAAAGCTTATGCTCAAATAAATTTGTTAATCTCTAAGGTGCCACAAGTACTTCTGTTCTTTTTTCCCTAAATTTTGTTTATGAACACCAAAGAGAATGATATAGGCAAGAAAAATATATGCTGGCTCCAGAGGAGAGGCTGTGGTGTACTTTAAGGGAATTGTTCGAACACATACCACTCTGATTTATTTGACTGTGAAATGATTGACTAGAATGCTAGGCATGGTCTGCATTGAATTGTCATACACTTGCTGGTTTGGTTTCAAAAGAGGTAAACAGAACAATACATTCACAGCAACAGTTCTGCATTCCTCTACTATGTGGAAGTTAGAAGTAAGGTCAGGAAATAAAAAAGAGGATTCACCCTGGGGGAGGAGCAACAACAAAAAATGCAATGAGTATATCTGGAGAAAGCTAATCCAAATAGCAGATATTCAAATGGGAGAAAGAAACCTGAGGAGCAATAATATCAAGAGAAACCTAGATGTGATAACAAAGAGCAATGAAATATGAGTTTGCTATATGAAGGTCATATGTAAAGGCCAGTATGATTTTTGGATACTTACAGTGACATCAAATAATAGGCCAGTATGTGACCATGGTGAGATTGCATTTGGAACAAGACCATCAGTTTTTAGTTCATTATTAGGAACATATAAAGAAATGGGAGAGAGCTTAGAGAATAATCAGGAGTGATAGAATTGCTTCAATTCTTCTAGCCTTTCCTAAGTGACCTTTGACAGTTACCAGGACCCTCACCTCACCTATCTACAGATATCTGAAGAATGTAAAAATATCAGAACAAAGGATGGAAAGGAATTACTAAGCCTTGTACAAGGGGGCATAACTAGGAGTAATGAGACAGAATTAATAGAAACTTCAGGCTGAATATTAGAAAAAGCTTCTTCATAGTGAAGTTTATTAGGCTGTGGTATTACCTTTCAAGGGATATGTTGGAAGTTCCCTTGCTTGGGATAGCTGTGAATGCGTAAGATACTAATAAGTTGTTATTGCCCGTTGTACATGGAAAGTCATCCCTGAACAGATCCATAAGTACAATAGACTTTCCTTCTTTAGGTCCTTTCATAAGGTCCCCTTGTGCTGTGACACCTACAAGGAGTCAGACAATTAATGTTAGGTATGTTGTGACAGTCGATGAGAGTTCAGTGTTGGGGCGGTTGGCATTAAATTATGTTAGTTTATATTTTAAAAATGAATGATTCGGAACCAAGAAGTTGTATGCCGAGTTTGAGTAAGTAACAGCATGAATGTAATAGCCTTGTCCTCTCTATTTCCCTTTTCTTGTTTAGAATGTAACTAATATGTCTTAAATTAAGCTCCAGTTCTGGAATTGGTGCCACGTGGATGGTGAATCCCGGGCCTAAGAGGAGCATAGGGAATGTTCAGACCCTTACACTGTAAGTTATTTAGGGTGAGGGACTGTGTCTTTCTATGCCAGAAGTTCCCAGACTGTGAGGCACACTGTTCTAGGGGGGCGTGGAGGAATGTTTTGGGGGGGGCATTGTGGGCCCAGGCCAGCCCCACGGGGGGCAGGGAGGGCGTGGCACCCAGACCTGACCCACCCCCAGCTCTGCTTCGGCCCCGGCCCCAGCCGTGGTCCC